GAATTAATGTCATTAGAAATTATTATACTTTATTCATCCAGATAAGAAGCCTTTCAAACTTAAGGTGCCGATATAAATTATTCCTCATCATCGTATGATATCATAAGTAGGCCTATGGCCGTTTATGTAATGACTCTTCTGTCTTCTGATTTTGTTAAATAATGGACATCGTATTGAATTAATACAATTGTGAATGAATGACAGTATACTAAGTTTATAAAGTGAATAAATAATTGTGTTTGAGCATAAAAGTCAATTCAATATTACCATGTTTGTTGTTATTCATGAGTTATGAAAGCAGTGTATCTCCCCTGATCGTGATTCCAGCACTCTTTCGAGAGGATGCGTTTTTCTCTGCCTGCTTGGTTGCCAAGGTAATTCTAGAAAATCTTAATTAATTTCCTTATTACAAAACTTTGCAGTATCCTATTGTCACGATTGTAGGCCCCTGTGATTTAATTTTACCCTGCTCGTGCATGCCCTACGTCCAATTCTATCGGATCCTTCCAAAATGTTATACGACTCCGAAGCTGAGAGATTCGGGATATCTTGTTCGATTTCTCATTGCCTGGAAGCCAAGATCTGATTATTCGCAAACCTCATCAATCTCAACTAGTCGTCCCATACATACGGAAACGTGTTGGTACAACCGTGATTGCCAATTAAAACCTTGTCCATAAATACCCGTGCCGACGGAAGGAGAACGTCTTGATTCAATACGTCACGTACGATTCTATGCATTCTCGCCGCCGTATGCAGCAATTATCGGTTGGGAAAGAAAAAGGAAGCTCTGCCGTTGATCTCTTATTCAATTTACCAACAAAAACTTCGCCTAATGATTTTCAAGAGTCACAGTCATGAAATGGACCGTGCGCAATTCGATTAATGCGTGATAAATGGCCAAGCATGCTGCGAGCTACTGAACATGTTGTATAATATCTGGATGCACAGTAATCACGGTTCGAAACTCGTCGTTCCTCTTCAAATTGTACCATTGAATGTTAAACGGAGGCAGGCTGCAATTTTCAATTTCTTGATAGTGAGGTAAGATGCTTGTTGTTCTATTATAGATGTATATATTCTCCCACTCCCTTTCTCTCCCACTCCCACCCCTCTCTCTCTCTCTCTCTCTCTCTCTCTCTCTATCTATCTCCCTCCTCCCCTCTCTCTCTCTCTCTCTCTACCTCCCCCATCCCTCCCCCCCCCCTCTCTCTCTATACATTGTTCCCCCATAAAGTTAGAACAATTTTCTTTACCTTTTGTCATTAAAAGATTGAGACAATATGATATATTCTTGACATAATTTATAAATATCTTTTCGGAACTGTATTGATCAATCTAAAGAGTCATAACGACTGATTGATAAAGCTCAGACTAGATACACATTTCATCTATCAAAAATAAATCATATTTTTGCAAAATCTTCATAAAAATAAAAGACTCCGTTGACACGTGTTATAGGTAAAACAATATTTTGCCGATAGGGCGTCTTCAAGTTATGGCACTGCAAATTATACAAGTACATTGTTAATGCACACTTTGAAAAGAGACATTGATAGCTCAGCAAACTAAAACGGCAAACAAAAGAAGAAAACAAAATAAAACAAATATGATTGTGAGACAATTATAATCATTTACAAATCCAACTCATATCTGCTTCGAAAACATGGAGCAATAGAGCACTTTTCATGCATCAGAGAATTAACCTGTTTTGCCTATTTCAAATGATTCCTCACTTGAACTCTTCCTTCAGTAAGTTAATATCATTAACCTATTTTTATGAGTGTATGTATTTCATGTTTCTCTTCACATTCTGTAAATTCGTAAGCGCCATGATGTCTTCTCGTAATATCAGCACTCCTAAATTTCGATATTATTATTATAGTCATTATTATTATTATTATCATTAATAGTAGTATTAGTAGTAGTAGCAGTAGCAGGCGCGTACGCAGGGGGTGTTTGGGGGTTAAACCCCCCCTTTTGGTATTTTTATGTGTATAAACCCCCCTAAAAAAACCACCCCCTTGTTTGTTTGTTTGTTTTTGTTTTGTTAATAAAAAACATAAAAAATAAAAAAAAATAAATAAAAAAAATTATTCCCATGACTGACCTAAAAAAGGTGACCTTACCCCCCCCCCCCCAACGGAGCAAAATGTCAAATTTCGAGACCAAAAAAAAAAGTGTCCTCTTACCCCCCCCCCCCCCCCCCCCCCGATGCGAAATTTTTCGGCACGATTTAAAAATGTTAACCCCCCCCCCCCCTTGAAGAAATCCTGCGTACGCGTCTGAGCAGTAGTAGAAGAAGTAGTAGTAGTAGTAGTAGTAGTAGTAGTAGTATATTAGTACAGGTGTAGTATCATTATTTTTTCTTTCTATAGTATTCATTAAAATAATAGATATATCTACAAAATATGATAACGTAAAAGGAGATGACATCAAATTGACTAAATCAACGGAATTCAAAATGCCGCTGCTCGTCTTATGACAAACTGAAGAAGATTCTTATTATCACTCCTATACCGAAATCTCTTCACAGGCTCTCTGTTCACAAGCGTATAATCTACAAAGTTTTGATCTTAACTTATCGCGCATTAAAATGATAACCTGTATCCACTTTTTTTTATCCCTTGTAACACCCCGTTCCATATGTCGTTCTGGTTTAAGTTCGACTGGTAAAATCTGAAGAAAATGAGGGTGGAATAAGTTAAATTTCCCCCTTCAAACAGCTAATACTGTGGATATTCATGCGCCACTTATAAAAGGTATACCGGATGACCAAGAATACATGATAACGAGCCAAATATGAAACGAGACAAGGAAAGAGAGAGACGTCAAGGAGAAATATTCGGAGAAGAAAGGGGAATAGAGAGAGAGAGAGAGAGAGAGAGAGCGAGAAGAGAAAAGAAGGAGCGATGGATAAGTGGAACAGATAGAGGGGAGAAGAAGGGGGAGCGAATGGGAAGAATGAGCAGATGAGATATGGAGAGATAGAGGAGAAGGTGAAAAGGAGAAGAACGGGAGAGGGAGAGATTCAGAGATGGGGAAAGGAGAGATAAAAGAGGGCGATTGCGAAGACTGAGAAAGTGTGTGGCAGAGAGTTAATGGGACGGGTGGAGGGGAGACATGGAGAGAGACATGCAGAGAGAGAGAGAGAGACAGAGAGAGACAGAGAGCGAAGAAAAAGGAGAGAGAGGGGGAGGGGGAGGGGAGTGCAGAAGGCCAGTTAGTGAATTATTAATTTATTAAAAACACAAAATGTAGAGGGTTTTGCGAACCGCCTTGATACTACTCTAAGCTTCCATTCTCTGAAGACATTTCAATAGGCCTACTCCTAATTAGGTGACGAGTTCAATGTCAATTTAGAATAACTAACATGTGAAACGCATATAGAAAGCATGATACAGATCAACTTTCCGCAGCATCATTCAGAAAGGAGATATATAGAGGAATATTAATTCAAGGGGCACAACAACACGATTAAGGCTTGCTCAGATAGGATGCGGCATAACCACGTTTTTTTTATTTTTATGATGGCGTGAAGTATAATACGCTTCACCTATCTGTATCTTAACCGTTGTTTTTCTAACCCCTTTTTTTAGTCATGCCCCCTTTTAAGAAATACAAATTTTCGCGTCACCCAATCCCAATTTCATTTACAGAAGATTCATTTTGCATCACTCTGACACAGTGCCATGTACAAATGACCACATTTGTTTCTAAATTTTGCGAGCGAGCAAAACAAAGACACATTTGATATGGTAACATTTTTACTTTATAATCAACATAATAGATAAAAATAGAGAATTAAGTGTGCGGGCACCTTGCTGCCGAATACAGTCATGAATACCAAAACTTCATTTGGTACAGTCACCTCAATGCACGAATATGAGAATATTGAAATCAGGGAAATGTGAGTTGGTCTAGCGATAATGTCCGTGGTACGATCTGCTCTCTGTCTTCGCCTGACTCAGTAGCCTCTTGTCGATGCCCTCGCGCTGTTGGAGTCTCTAAAATCTGACGAGCGAAGCGAGTCAGAGAAACCGAGGCGCTTGCGCGGAGGGCCTCTTGACAAGTGATCTGAATTATATATTCATGAGACCCGATTTCCTACTGAATTATGCATGTCTAGACCGCAACGATTGTGTGTGTGTACGTGCGTGTTCGGGATTGCCCAACTAGGCTAGTCTGCAAGCACAGACCCTAATTTGACACTTTATCAAAAAATCATTGTGCCTTGAGAGAAGCCTAGCCCAGCTATCTACTGGTACCTACTGGTTGTACCAATATAGGTCAGGAGCAGCTATAGTACGTGGCATATGGTAGTCTTATAGTGCACACTCTCTTTTACGACTGACCAGGGTTTGTGCTTGCAGACTACAACTAGGCGGCCAGTCTCGCTCTGACGGAGGGAATTCGCACAGAGCGGTAGATATTACGTCATAGTAGCTCTCTCTGATTGGATGACTTTCACCGAACTCTGCTGGGTCGGAATATTCGCCAAACAAAGTGAAACATAAGAAATTCAGGGCACTTGTCAAGAGGCCCTCCGCGCAAGCGCCTCGGTTTCTCTGACTCGCTTCGCTCGTCAGAATTTAGAGACTCCAACAGCGCGAGGGCATCAACAAGAGGCTACTGACTCAGCGGACCCCGGTTCGAAACTGAGTCACGTCTTTCGGATGCATGCATGCATGGTGACAAGGTCGATCCCCAGACATTAATAATCATATCTGATTGATACTCGTCTGTAAATACCCAAATTAAGACAGTGTCTGCAAAATGAGACTACAATAAGCTCTGTACTTTAATAAGCTACTCACAGCTGGAAACTGACAGAACTAGGCTCTGCTCAAGGCATTAGGAATTGTGGTAAAGTGTTAAATTATAGTCTGGCCTTGTAGACTAATTAGTGACACCAGCCTTTTCCGAAAGGGGGAATTCCCTAGAATTGATAGACACGCCCCTATCTCGCATTATATGCGCGTGCGTGGTCGGAGGTCTAGTAATACGGCTCGCGCTCGGGAACAACAAGTTTGATTAGTGTATTGTACTACGCTAGAGGGACATTTATAGCGGTCAATTTGCATTAGCTTGAGCTTGATCGAGGAAGGTCAGTACGTAGTATTTTTTAGCAGTAATTTGCCATCTCTTGATATAGCCACAATTTGAGGGACCTATAAATGATCACCTAGCTACCAACGTTTATACACATAATCTAAAGAAATTTTGTAATTTTGTTGTAGTTTAATAGTTGTTTAGAGCGAAGTCCGGTCACAGAGTGCAGTTCGCAAAGCAGAGAACTCGTTACTGTATAATTATGTAGGACATACACATTCAACGTAAAAACTGTCCTGTCCGGTACAGCTGTCTCGTTGATGCAAGCTAGCCTCACGAAACTGCCCAGTATTAAAAGCGCATTTATTTGTGCTGAAGGAAGTTTATAAGGGTCTAGGTATTGTAATTTAGCTTGCTCTTCTTACTCAATAACTTGATAAGCTTTTTATGTACAGTTATGGATGTTAAATCTGATGAGTGGTACATGGCCTAGCTAGTGTGGTTTATTTATTGAGTGAATGTGTTGACCCGGCTCAGCCCCTCGTACGTGTGCAGTATGAATGCTGTGCTTATATTTCCATTTCAAACAATGGCAAACAACTCAAAATCAAGGACTTATTGAATTCCTCTGCTTATCGAAGAACTGTGCATGAGCACAGATTGTCTGGAAAGAGTAGTACTGTCAGAAATAGTATTTAGAAAAGAAACATGAGAAGAATGAAATACAGAAATAAAGTGGAAAGAGATCTTGTGCGTGTGTGCTCTTGTAATTCTTATTTTCAAGTGGTAAAATGTAGGATAAAGTACAAAAAGAGTCATGTCTCATACTCCCGAAAGTGCCGGTATTCATGATTAAGTGGCCTGTGAAAAAAAGGAAGTGTTGACCCCCAAGGGGCGGAGGGACTGCATGCGTGTTCCAAAAATGTCCAGTAAGGGGATACTTTTTTGCGCAACAAAGTCCGGCCCGCCATTGACTTACACACCAGAGATAAGGGGGTGCTTTCAATAAGAGGGGACAAGCATACGCGTACCCTAAACTTTGTAGATTATATAGATTGTATCTTCAAAGGTACTCAAAACGTGATTACGTGGGTAATTGTTACAAGCCTTCCTAATGCATTGTGAGCTCTATAGCGGTCAGTATACATCTTGACCAATAGTTTTAAATTATGTGTGAAATATTGTGTGTGTCCCAATTAATGTTGATTCCTTTTTTATATCATGTGATTTTTCTGTTGTTTTTCTGTCTGGTTTAGATTGTAAAATGACTACTCAGCCCACCAAAAAGCTTATAAACGATGTTGATCGATGTGTCGACGAAGCGATAGAGGGCCTTGTTGCTATTACACCAGGGATCACCAAGTTAGCCGGTCATAGAATAGTCGTACGAGATGATTTGGATGACGTGAAGAAGAGCGGGAAAGTGACGTTACTTTCTGGTGGAGGTTCTGGCCATGAACCATCTCATGCAGGTGATAACCTTGGAGGAATCGGTGAAAAGAACAACTCGTAAAATAGGGCTCATCACTATAAAAAACAAAGATTTGAGTTATTTGACTTTCATCTAGTGGCATGAAATCCAGATTTATGGGCCAGATCTAAGAGTTGTAGCTATTTTAGAGGAGAATTAGGCATTTTTCAATCTTTGTCATTTTAGTGAGGAACATTTGAAAAGAAATTTGGGACTATTAACCATCTTAACCACCTGATCTTGAAGAAAGTGTGATGTAAATGATGAAAGACGTGACCGAAGCTAATTTGCTCTGTATTCTGCAGGTCCCTTCAATTTTGCACATTTATTCATTTGTACATTTATCTACAGTAAAGTATATATATCCATGTCAGACTCTGTGTTAGAAGTCAGCACATTGTGCTGCATAGAGGTTTCTTATGTGTTGTTGAACTAAAAAATCACCCTAGTTCTCCCTTCTATGAATTTTCTTCACACGTGTATAGAGCCAATCAGCAGTGATATGCAATATAAAAGCACTGTGTTATTATTATTATCCTCTTTCCCCCTTGCTGTTCTATTTTTATTAACTATCTAGTAATCGTCACTCTGGTGATTTTCTCCTAGGTTATGTTGGACTTGGTATGCTGAGTGGTGCTATAGCGGGATCTGTTTTTGCCTCACCCCCTACCAGCTCTATATTAGCAGCTATACGGGCTGTTGGTAGAGATAACCCAGGTGAGGTAATGGACCTAATTATGGCAGATAAGCCTTGTGCTACATTATTCAACCTAGTCTACTACGACTACTACTACTGCTACTACTACTTCTTCAACTACTACTACTACTACTACTACTATACTACTACTACTACTACTACTATGTCTACTTCTACTACTACTACTACTACTACTACTACTACTACTACTATATTACTACTACTACTATACTACTACTACTACTACGTCTACTACTACTACTACTACTACTACTACTACTACTACTACTATACTACTACTTCTACTACTATACTACTACTACTACTACTACTACTACTACTACGTCTACTACTTCTACTACTACTACTACTACTACTACTACTACTACTACTACTACTACTACTACTACTACTACTACTACTGCTGCTACTACCACTACAGCTATCACCACTACTACTACTACCTACTCCTCCTACTACTGCTACTTCTACTGGTCACATTCAAACAAGTGTATAATTGAGGCAAAAATGACCTTCAAGCCAGTTCTACCATGAGTAGATTAATCATCCTTAGCAACTCCATGAGAAATCATTCTAGTTTTTAGAAAACTAGTTTGTGGTATGATTCCCATGGCATTAATGTCCTTTGGCAAGACATTAGTCTCCATTTTCCACTATGTGAGGACAATATTCCTTGAATGAACGCCTTGTTAAGGCCGCTCAGTTAATTGGGGCGTAATAAGAGCACAGCGCTTGTAAACATTAGCATTAGGCGCTATGTAAATGTCAGTTATTATCATCGTTTTACCTATTAATCAATCATTCATAATTTATGGGATAGGAATTGAAAGTAAAAGTTTTGTCTGCAAAATGAGACTACAATATACTCTGTACTTAAGCTGCGGCACAGCTGGAAACTGACAGAGCCAAATAAAAACACACACAAAAAAGAATGAAACAATTAAGTTATTGCAGCTTAAGTACTGTTTAGATACTTTTTCATACACTTTATTTAGAAATTGGCCGTGGTCTGGGATTATTTTTGATAGAGTCATATATAATATATATATATATATATGTTTACAAAACCAAGAGTTCTTGTTGTTGCCCTGATTCTCATCTCAAGCTGGAACATTGCTGATCGTAAAGAATTATACCGGAGATTGTATCAACTTCGGGATCGCTATGGAGAGGGCCAGAGCAGAGGGCATCCTAGTGGAGATGGTGGTGGTCAAGGACGACTGTGCGCTCGCCGGTCAAGATTTAGATGACCGCAGAGGCCTTGCAGGAACAGTCTTTATTCACAAGGTACCAGTGACCAGTTTCTCAAAACCTTCATGTTACCAGTATATCATAGTTCTTGGACATCCAATTGAAATGTATGTCTAATATCTTTATACCGGTATGTCATACATACTCTTTGCCACATTTTATTTATCATGGAATGTATTCAAAGATATCCAAATCTTTCATAATAATAACAATATTTATAAAGCACAACATATCCATCTCTAGAGATGCTCAAATAATTAAAATTTATATCGGGGATTCAACATAATTTAGATTAAAGAAATATCATACTCACATTTTCATAATAATTTTTTTTCTTTTTCTGACATGCACCAACTTAAGCAGTTTTGTTAATAAAAGATACTCCATTTCATAATCTAGATATTTTTATGAAATGGAAAAGATACAAAGGCACCTTTACTATTTCATTCGAAAGAGAGATGAAATAAGTTTTAACAATTATGGATTTGTTTTGCTTTTGTTATTAGTTGGCAGGATGCATGGCTGAAAGCGGTTTATCATTGCATCAAATTAAACAAGCTGTCGTATTGGCCTGCTCTTCAATGGGTAAGAAGTATTTTATGGTACCTCCTAGATAAGAAAGAAGAAAAGAATAATCATAGAGTATGGTATAATATGGTAACAATAAATATGGTATCATTTACTCAGGGTAACTTCATCAGTATTAAAACTGCTCTCTGTGAGGGCCCCATAATTACTAGTACCAGCCCTGTTTTAAAACACCTTTATCCAGAGGAACAACCAATAGCATAAAACCTTGTCTAAAGATGTAAGCACAGAGCGGGCTTTGAACCGCTGACCTCTCGTATGAGAATCAAGAACGTTCACCAATATACCACAGTGCTCCTGTTTATAAATCTTCCAATCAGAGTTTGAAATATGTATGTGTAACAAGTCAAATCATCAAGAAATATCTGTGTATTAGATATTTGCCATATGCAAAGGTAATATGATTTAATTTGCATCATTGCATAAGGGGAGGGTTAACTCAAACAAATTTATAAAAATTCCCTGCTTGGAAACATTCTAAGTAAATATTATCATCAATTCAAAATGGTAAAATACCGCCCCACTTTCACATTTGGAGAGCTCTTCAAATATTGCTGAGATTTGTGACATCACTCTAGAATATTAAATACTTTGGAAAGACCTTTTTTGTTTACCAGCTCTGTCATAATTCATATCTTCTCAGGGACTGTTGGGGTGTGTCTGTACCCATGTAGTGTTCCTGGAGCTGGCCCATCATTTAGTCTAGGTCCACAGGAAATAGGACTTGGGCTTGGTATACATGGAGAAGCAGGAATCAAGCAATTACAGGTTAGTGTCAGGGTAGTCCACATGCAAACAAAGGTTCAAACATATAAAATTAGAACATGAAAGGACTATTTACTGATGTATGCAGTGTCCCTTGCTTGTGGCCAGGATCCAGAGTTTGCGTATGGGTAAATCGGTTTACAGATTTTAAAAAATTTTCCCGTCTTTTTCCGGGTTTTTTTTTTCTTTTTTTTTCTCCTAATTTTCCCCCTGATTTTCCCCTTATTTTCCCTTTTTCCCTTATTTTTTCTTTTTCCTTAATTTTTCCCATTTACCCCATTTTTTTTACTCAAAAGGGGGGGGGGGGGGAATTTTGTTTGATGCAATTTATTTTCTCCCTGAATTCTTTTTTTTTTTAGTGTGCACTTATATCACCCCGAAGCATGTATGTTTTAAAAACTCTCTTTTTTAATCTTTTCATGTTACTTTCCTAATCGACTTCATCAGTTTGTGTTTCACAAAACTGTTTCCCATCTTGACACTGCACTTTAGTCATTTTTTCTAGCTGAAAACAAATAATGGTTTCCTTTTTATTTGCGATGAGTCAGTGAAACATGAAAATACATTTTAAGTTAAATCAAAATACAGAGTGTGTAATTATATTCATTGTGGAAGTTTAACTAATCTCATGCCCACCGGCCTACATACCATATTCTCCATTCACAGCAAAATTTATTTGTTTTTCATTCACTTGAAAAAGCTTAAATTCGCTAGGGAATAGGTAATACAAAATTGTCTCATTTTCTTTCATGGTTTGATTGGTAATTGCCAGTGCTTATTCTTGGGTGCTATTGATAATTCAAGTATGCTCTGTTGTGGCTCTATATCTGCATGAAATGTTTCCATTCTTGATTCTCCTAATTGGTTTTACACCATCATTCCTAACCGTATATTGTCTTAGGACTTAGAAGCTCATAATTGGATTACTTCTACTGCTTCTACGGAAGTAATTGAACCCCTGTGTAAATGACATGCCTGTGTTGTGTTTTCATCTGATTAGGCAATGAACACCCATATAACTATCGGCTTATGAAATGATCTGATTATAAATATTAGAGATGTTATGACTACGATTGTTTTTATGTTCAATTGTAAATCTTGTGTTCTTAAATAACACCAAGCTTAATCTATTAAAAGGACAACATAGATTTTTACTAGTTTCAAATTTGAGGATAATTATTTTTATGTATTCTTATATTGATAAATATTTCCCCCTCTTGGATTTAATAACTGTTTTTATTTCATTTTTTCCTTGCTATTCCACTGGGGGGGCAGGGGGGTTATCATTCATGTGTGTATTGTATCTTCATCAAAGAAAAAAGATGTTATTCATTGTAGAAACATTAGCTGTTGGATAATACTCAAACCTCTCAACTTCCCTTCATGATAGTTATCAAGTGCTACTGATGTTGTAGCTACTATGTTGGACCAGATGAGAGACTCCACAAATAACTGTAGACTGGACTTGAAATCTGGTGATGAGGTTGCCCTTATGATCAACAACCTAGGCGGTACATCCAATCTGGAGATGGCCATTGTAGCTCGCTCTGTGTTACAGTACCTCAGTAAGTATATGTTCCTTTTTAATACCTTAGTCACACTACTCTACCGACTCCAAATTGACTCCTTAAAGGTAATGCAAAGTTTTGGGAAATTTTAAAAATTAGATGGATAGTAATTCTTTACAACTTGGATATATTTGGATGCCCCTGCAGATGAATTATAAGCACTAGAAAATTTAGCCCCTAAAACACTTCTGCTTTCGAGAAATTGACTAATCAAAAATTTACTGGTGCTCCCGATAAATTTTGAATATTTTAATTAGCGCCTAAGGCCATTCCATTGTAGCTGCGACCATGAAAATCTCAGAATATGTAGATCTGATATATAATTTCCAAACGGGTATAGCAAATCGATCGATGGTAGTCAAGAAACATTGTTTTAAGGCGAAAGTAATATCAGTCTTGAGAGGCCGCTATACAACGTAAAGAGTCTATCATTTACAATTTCATCACTTTAGACTCAATTTCAAACACGACAACGATCATAAAATCGCATATGCTTCCAATTTGAACCAAATTCATCCATACCAAAACTTTGTATTACCTTTAATACAGCCGATTTTATGTAGCTGTAAAAAGGCTTCAGAATTTTACATTCAAGTTTGATCTAAGTATATTACTATGCCATTCACTAGATGTTGTTGTTTTAGTTGGTGTGAGCCAATTGGAATTAATTAAAAAAGAAAAGCTCAAAGATGTTTAGTAGACTCATATAGAATAGGTTATTTGTTTTTAATATTGTGAGTTTTTTTTGTAGCAGACATTGTTGAAAGCAAGAAAGGTGGTCTTTGTGAGCTCAATCAATGCCTGAATGTAAGTTAACAATTGTATTAATCCTTATTTTTAATTTTGAAGTACCACACTTTTGTGTTATTGTTTACATTTGTTTAGATCTTGTGAACTTTTCGCTTCTATTGCAGGTGATGCAGAAGTCAAGGTAGAGATGGTTTACTGTGGTTGCTTTATGACATCACTAGAGATGGTCGGCATCTCTCTTACTATCCTCATCCTGGACCAGAGTGGACAGCGAGCCTCGTATCTTGGTGAGTGGTTTTCACTCCTATCTTAAAGCCTCACTGCACTACTTATAGCTACTTGGGCCTTCTATACAGCAAACAATGCCTAATTGGTGCCTGTTGGTCCCCCATGGTCCTCTTTTTCTTATGTTAATTGAGAGCTGATTTGATGAGATAACCAACTGTTGGTGACCTTGCAGGGAGGGTTAATCACCCCTGGCCAAACTAGAGCAGATGGGCTTTAAAGATTTGTTTGAGTTCTGGTGAAGATTTGATTTGTGTTCTTTCTCATTCTTTTATGTCACTTTGGAGGAATAGTATAGAAAGAATGACCTCACATTTTGAATATGACAAGAAAGTTTGGTTCAAACTTTCATATCTCAAAAAAGTGTAGTCCCTTAAACACATTTCTGTGTGCATTTCATGTTACTTTCAGCAAGGCTGAATCAATTTCTTATCATAATAAAGATTATAAAAAGTCACACTATACACTAATTCTCATAATTAGCCTTCATAATTTATTCCAGAAAGATCACATGACCAACACTCTAATTATAAATTCTATATTTCACTTTACAGAGTAACAATAGTCCTGATCAATAAAATAGACGTATTGGTCCATATAAATAAAGAGTGACACACTGAGAAGGAGATAAGTCTTTGTTTCACAAATACACAATTGAAATATTTATCTTTTTTTTTTACTCCACTGTGCCGTAATATGACAGAAACTGATAAAAAAGCTAATCTGTGCAAAGTCATTTAAAAATTGTTTGTATCTATTATTTGTTTCTTACAACTCATGCCTAAAATTATGGGAAACATGCTTTTTTATCCACTAATATAAAGAATTATTATAGACAGTATTAAATTGCTTACCAATACCGTACATGGCTTTTATACCTCGTAAAACAGTTACAAAATAGTAAAAGTCGATTTTGTTTGTTTGATTACCGGAAAAGATACTTCAGGTATAGTTCTTCCGTTATCTTGTTCAATGCATGACTTAGAAAAATTTATTGTGATTGTTGATAGATCAGGCAACCTCCGCTCCAGCGTGGCCATCTGTATCTCATCGCCATGGTAACATATCACTTGGTAAAGAACTCCCAGTTTTAGAGCAAGCTTCTTTAGGATCCACCCATGTGACAAGAAAAGGAGAGAAAATGAGTAATGGTGAGATTTTCATTATTTCCATCAAGAAAGTATACTGCATAAGCAGGTATTTGATTTAGTTTATTTCTTAAATTACTCATTGCAAAATTTTTACCCCAAGTAATTTTTTTCAGAGACATTTCATTTTATTAAATCAACGTCGATCTGGCGCTGCTCAGTGGCTGCCGGGCTCACGATCAATTGGGCAAAAAGAATTTCCGTTTCGGTTTAATAAAATTTGGAGTGGACTATTAGGATATTATTATTATTATTATTATTATTATTAAAAATGTTGCAGTAAGAAAATATATATTTTGCCAATTTGAAGAACAATATGTGTTCCATTCAGCCCTAAAAAGTACCTGCCTTGAAAGGACTAATTCTAAACATAATGATTTGATTTGATTTGCTATTGTAATACTGATGTAAAAATGTATAAACTTGTATTTGTTATTTGAACACAGAAATAAAATCAATGAAACAAAAACAAAAAACAATAAAATTGTCAGGTTTTGGATTTAATTTTTCATTTTTTAAAAATCATTTTCCCTCTTGTTTTGTTCATTCCAGAGTCCTGTAAGAGAATTAAGACTGTTTTGAGCAGTGTATGCTATCGATTGATGGAGAGTGAGAAGCTTTTAAACGATCTTGACACCATCAGCGGGGACGGAGACTGTGGATCCACCCTTAGAAGGGGTGCAGAAGGTACACCTTGTCTGCTCCTAGCTTAACTATACTCTGGGGATAAGTGTAGTCGATGAAAGTGAATTAATACTAGATTTTTAAGTATAAGACAATAAATGTGTGCATGAGGCTTTCATGCACGAATTGCATTGTATTGAATTAGATTAGATTGGACTGGTTTATTGATTAGAAACAGACGTTTGCAAGGGATCAAGATTTGCACACGTTTGTACCTCACAAACTTTAATCACATTGCTCAATTTTTGGAAACCATGAATATTGTGGAACCCTATATTTCCATGGATATTACAAGTCGTTAAAGGATTGGGAATTTGACAACACTTGAAAATAGTGTAACATAAATTGTGAGTACCCCGTGTAATGATTATCATGAAAACAACTTTTGAATCAGCTTTAATAATTATTATGCCTTAAACGACATAAATGACATATACATTTACATGTATAACATTAGTAAATTGTAGACTTGTCAGTAATTATTTCTGCCCAATACTGGTAGAACATTTTCATATTATAATCAATTTTAATGCACAAATCTTTGTAAGCGCTTGTTACGAGTCATTATTTTCACCTGTTACAAATGAAAGTATCTCAATAGTAAGAATTCTAATTGCGTACATTAGTTGTTGCTAGGTAGGACAAACATTATTGCTTGACCTACCTAACAACACGTGATATATACCATTTGCTTTCTGACTACCGGTATAGAAATACAATTATTTGTAACAGATGAATGACAAAATGTGTAACAAGGCACTTTTAACAAAGATTTGTGCATTAAATTTGATTGTGACATTACGAAATTGACCAATTAATTGATTTTAATAACTGATCTCACCCTCAGCAATGAAGACCTGGATTGAAAGTGAAGAGCTGCTCTCCGTTAGTGATGTAGCTGGTCACATGTCTATAATTGCTGAGGAAGCCATGGGAGGAAGCTCAGGGGCGGTAAGATGATTATTCATTTATTAATTTTTATTTATTGGTATATAATCATCAACCAGCAGCATTAAGCTGAAAGGGTCAATTTACAAAAAATATAAATCGTTTTAAACATGTGTAGCCCTCGTTACTTTCGTAATAGTAGGGTACCAAAATAATATAGATGAGATGAGTCTGTAAAACAGGAGGCGAAGAAGAGATGTGTGATGGTTAAACTCGTGACACGGACTGCCTTTTTAATAACAAGTAATAATAATATATAACACATAAACAAACTCACATAATCAAAACACAAATACACTACTATAGTTCCTATCTTACTAATATATAGGTTTACATCCAAACTTAGCCATTAGATGAAATAGCAAAGGAAATATCAACAACATATCCGTTTCCCATTATAAACAAACACAGACTTATCCTCCACTAGAAGGGATAATATATAGTAACTCCTGCTTGGTAGGTTTGGAGCCTCGCTCCACATACGGCATAACTACCGACAGATCAGGATCCGATCTTTGCTGCCGAGCAAGCGTTTCTACGGGAATGATGTCGATGGAGGGTGTTCCCGTCTCACTCCCACCTTGGTTGCCTGGAGAGCCTGGGTTAGATACACCGGCTGCCAACTGGAGAGCTGTGGGATGTACAAATCCAGACGGTTGCAATCCTTCTTGCAGAACGGCTGACACTGCTAAATGGCTGCAGTCGACTTGCACATCTTGAGTTGGTACTCCAGCTGATGCCTCTGGCAACCTTGAAAGAGCGTCTGCTGCGGCGTTGAGCCTCCCACTTCTATATTCCACACTGAAATCAAAGTCTGCAAGTGCTGCAACCCATCGCTGGCCAGTTGCATCCAGCTTTGCAGAACTGGTGACATATAGGAGTGGATTGTTGTCTGTCAGGACATGGAATCGGCGACCTAGGAGATACTCACGAAACTTGTCTACCACAGCCCACTTCAACCCCAGGAATTCGAGCTTATGAGCTGGGTATTTGCTCTCGGATGGTGTTAAAGCCTTGCTTGCAAAAGCAATCACCCTCTTATTACCATCCTGGAGTTGACTGATGACTGCCCCAAGGCCAGAACCAGACGCATCAACCTCAAGAAGGAATGGGGTCTCAAAGTCTGGGAAGCCGAGTACTGGAGGAGACGTTAGTTTCGATTTGAGTAGCTCGAAGGCCGCTTCACATTCTTCAGTCCAATTGAAGGGAGGGAGGGGTTTCCGGGTAGCCTTGCGTCGACCACCTCCTTCTGTGAGCTGAAACAATGGCTTCGCTGTTTTCGCATACCCTGGGACAAACCTCCTGTAATAGCCTGTGAATCCCAAGAACCTACGTACGTCCTTGCTGTTCTTCGAACGAGGCCAGTCCGTCACAGATGAGGTTTTCTCAGGGTCGGTCTCGATTCCCTCCTAACTGATCACATGACCCAGATACTTGACCTTGGTCTGAAGGAGGTGACACTTCCTAGGCTTTAATTTCAACCCTTGTTGACGGAGCCGATTGAAGACAAGTGTCAGGCGATCAAGGTGATCGTCGAAGGAGCTGGAGAAAACGATGATGTCATCCAAGTAGATCAATAGAGACTCGAACTGTTGGTCCCCTAGGCATGACGTCATCAGGCGCTGGAAAGTTGCTGGAGCATTCTGGAGACCAAACGGCATCCGGATACATTCAAAAAGTCCCATGGGGGTTGTAAATGCCGTCTTTGGTCGATCCTTCTCCGCAACCTTTACCTGCCAATACCCACTCGTTAGGTCCAGGGTGGTGAAATACTTTGCATTCCCAAGGGCATCGAGGGCCTCGTCGATCCTAGGCATTGGGAAAGCATCCCGTCTCGTCTTGCTATTCAGGTGACGGTAATCTATGCACAGACGAATGGAGTCATCCTTCTTGCGTACCACCACAATGTGAGAAGCGTACGGGCTATGACTTTTCTTGATTACTCCTGCCTGTTCCATCTCCTGGATGTGTCGTCTCACCTCTTGGAACTGAGCAGGGGGAATTCTCCGGTAGGGAAGACGGAATGGATCTTCATCTGCAAGTGGGATGTCATGTTCGATGTCCTTAGCCAACCCATAATCAAAGTCATGTTGTGAGAACACGTCCGAGTATTCGGCAAGAAGATGCTCCAGTCGCAACTTCTCTTCCGGAGTAATGGGGGAGCTGGTTAAGTCGAGTTCAGGGAAGCTCGCTGAGGTCTGTGCCAGCAACGGGGAAGGTCCTGAAGGAGGTGTGAGCTGATCCGTAGAGGCTTCTTCGATGGCACACACCAGGAAAAGTTGAGCCAGAGGGACATTCTTGCCGATAGTGATGGGTCTATCGGACACATTCAAGACTCGAATTGGTATGTAGCGACCCGGAGACGCATCTACGAGTGTCCTTCCTACCATCATCCGAGATCCCTTGGTTGGATGCCCAATTGGCTCCACTATAGCTGTACAGCTCGGGCAGTTCCTGGCTACCTGGCACATAACCTCCACTTCCGAGCCCGGCTCAATCCTTCGTCCTCGACCACGGTGAACTGCTATTCCCAGATTTCCCCGGGCGTCCCCTGGTCGACGGCTTTCGATTGCAGAGCAAGCAGCCGACCATGCCTTGTTCTGCCTCTCCACTACCTGCAGGTATGTCGCACCGTGTAACCTCACCTGGTCTTGCTGGGCTAGCCTGATGAGATTTGTGCCGATGAGGGTGTCGACACCGGGTCCATAGCTCCCTGGGGACACGATGAAGGCTGGGACTTTGGAATAAGTGCGGCCCAGGCACTCTACCTCAAGAAGGATGACTCCCCCATGGGCCAATGGGTGGCTTCCAGCGCCTCTAATCTGTACTGGGGAGGGAGTAGGGGATAAAATACAAAGAGAAGGATGGGAGGAAATGAAGGAGGATGAAACAGTAGTCACCTGGGAGCCCGAATCAATTAGTGTAGAGGCGGGTACACCATTGATGACCACCGTGTCCAGGTTTGTTGGGCCAATCACTGGTATAAGTTCTGGGTCGATTCTATTCTGCTGGATACTAGTACTTGATAAACTATTATTTGATAAACTATTATTTGGTAAACTATTATTTAAATCAATTTTGCCCGCACTCCCTTTCTTTAACTTCGGTGCGGGCCGAACCCGTTTAAACGACCCGCTTGGTTTAGGGCGTCTCCTTGGCTGCCGGTTATATCCGAACTGGTCGGGGCTCTCCTCCGATTGGGGGGGCGCTCCTCCGATATGGGCAATCTCTCCTCCAGTGCCCTTTCTGGCAACACTCCCAGCAATCCGATGAAAGGAGCGTAGGTGAAGGGCGCGTGGATGTAGCCGGCTCTTGCACTTCCAAGGCCTTTAATCTTCTGTCCAGGGAAGCTACCCGCTCATCAGTTCTTCCCTGCTGGTCCAGGATATCCGCTACCAGCCTCAGCACGTCCTCCGTGTTATTGGATATTTGAGCGAGCCTCCCCTGGGTTTCACCTGGATTGTTAGGAGATGCCTGCTGAGCATAGACAGCGGGCCTCCTTGCCTTGGTATGGCGCTCCCTTGCTATGCGTCTGACCTCCTCCCGCAGGTTCCTAAAAGTCATCACCCGAGGCCTCATTGGTGCGAGACGAAGCCGCAGATCCTCCTCCCTAAGGCCTCGCATGAACTGGGTGCACAGAACCGAGTCCATCTGTGCTCCGGTTACGGCTGTCGGGAATTCTCTCTGAATGTCTTGGAAGAGCGACTGCAGCGCGATGGCATAGGATTGAGCGGTCTCGCCGTTTCGCTGCATCCGCTCGTAGAAGGCGGCGAATGGGTCCTCCGTTGGAGTATCCCCATACTCTGCCTTCAGCTCCTCCACTGCATCTGCTGCCGTCTGCTCCTCCAGGGGTAAATTTAGAATGAGGCGACGTGCTTCCCCTCCTAAATTCCTCACAATTGTGGAATACTGAAGAGAGGGTGGTGTACGGCTCGCAATGAAAAAGTAATCAATGTCCCTAACCCAATCTTCAACAGATATTTTGGATTCCCTCCCATTGAAGATAGGGACTCCCCTCACTTGCGTAAATGCTGGTCCCGTAATTGTGGGTGGCACTTCCGGTTGGGCGGACAGGTTGAGTGGGGAATCGAACATGAGTTCTGGTTCTGCTCGAGTGGCCATTATAAATTGTGGGTATTATAGAGTTTTACGAAGAAAATCTTTAAATCAGAAATATGATAATGTCAGAGGTATAAATTATATCAGGGGGTAGAGAAGCTGTGGACAGGTCGTGATTAATGAAATAAAATAAAATGGTTAGATTTAGACATTTATATCAGATAAGATAAAAATCAGATTAAGACAAACGGCACTCTCCAATCGTAAATAAGAGGAAGAAAAGAAAACATTAGATTAACAGGCTAAAAAGAAATTGGTTACATTCGAATGAATTTGAAACGACAATAAATTATATAAATAAATGATATCAATTAAAACAATTATAGATTATTCCCTTGAGTGATGTCTGTGCTGATCCAGCCCACAGTCAGTCCAGATCCTCGTCTGCTCAAGACCGTCGTCAGTTTCGATCCTTCCCACAGTCAGTCCAGATCCTCGTCTGCTCAAGTTCGGCGTCTCCCTGTCAATGTTGGGACACGGTCGTGTGTCCTTCTTCCTTCGCAATAGTGCCGTCCTGTTTTTAAAAGACTGACAATCCGTCCGACCCTGCCGACTACGCCAAATGTAGCCCTCGTTACTTTCGTAATAGTAGGGTACCAAAATAATATAGATGAGATGAGTCTGTAAAACAGGAGGCGAAGAAGAGATGTGTGATGGTTAAACTCGTGACACGGACTGCCTTTTTAATAACAAGTAATAATAATATATAACACATAAACAAACTCACATAATCAAAACACAAATACACTACTATAGTTCCTATCTTACTAATATATAGGTTTACATCCAAACTTAGCCATTAGATGAAATAGCAAAGGAAATATCAACAACATATCCGTTTCCCATTATAAACAAACACAGACTTATCATCCACTAGAAGGGATAATATATAGTAACTATTAACTTAATAACAAATACTCGAAACGTATAACTGCGAAGATAGCCAATATCCCTTTAACCCGACTAAACCTAAATAAAGTAAACAAGACGATAACTAATATGTACTAACTAATTATAACGAAGAAACTATAACTAACCCAACACGAATAGACTAAATATAATTATACATGTCTGACTAATAATATACAACTGGAGACTATTGAAGAATATATATATATATATATATATATATATATATATATATATATTATTCCTTCGTAAACCGGACATATATTGTGCAAATGAATAGTAATTGATGTCCTCTATATTAATTCATACTGTACAGGGCGAAGTAGATAAATAAGCGTTTTGGACCATAATAAAGCCCACTCATACATAGTGACGGCTAAAGCATATTTGCTTCATCTACTAATACTGTAGTACCTGCTTTATACAGATTACAGAGTTGAGACAAATAAACCTAAAAAGCCCAAAGTTCCTCTTTGTCAAGGTAATACTTGTACTGGTACTATATTAGTTAAAAGTTGTAATCCTTTCTTTGTTCTCAACGATGCGCTCACTCCCTACACACCTTGTGAACGTACATAGTCTAATCACGCAGACACCAATGTATCGTAGATAAATGATTATAAAGTTATACGCCAATTCCACACCAATCCCTGGTATATCGGAACACATATTAACATGATTATTATCTTGGCATGATAATGTAAGATCATAAACAAAATAAACGACATAATAACTAGATGCATATTATAAGAAAGTACGGACTTATAGACTAGCAAAATCTGGCCGGTTCATTGTCAAATCGAAGGTTATCTCCCTCTGAGATGGAATCTCTCAAAACGTTATCAAATCGAATATGGAAAATCGTAATAATATTTCCCCAACTAGAATATGTCAAATGCTAACTAGAATCACAATAGTGGTTCATAAACGACAAAATATTGATTAGCTCATATCTTTAAGTAAGAAAGCTAAATAGTTATGTACAATGTGAAATATATGTATTCGCGGGTACCATTCACCCATACAGTATAACGCTTCACAAATAGTTGTAAGAAAGCTACACTTTCTTAACTTAAATTCTTCCCTTAAAACAACGATATCTACAAATGCGAACATCAGAACATATCCAATCATACATCAGTACAACCGCACAAGGTTATATAACATGATAATAATGATTTACTTAAATATAAGTATAATACAAAATATGGTAAATTACCTGTAAAACAGGAGGCGAAGAAGAGATGTGTGATGGTTAAACTCGTGACACGGACTGCGAGGAGTCAAGCGGGTTCACGAGTTCAAGGTGTTTAGAAACAAAGGGACAAAGGTAATGTTGCGGGGTCACGTGTTAAAAGATATTTGCATAAAGTGAGTCATGTAATCCAGCATTCTATGTGGAAACAGGATGGGGATATGTGACTAGTCTTTATAAAACAGTCACCTGGTTACACATGTACAATAGTATAACAAAGCATAGTAGATAAATCAGTAACATAATGACCGATACCAACTAATGATACTGCGTTCGTTTATATACATTAAATTATACATTTATTGGTATAAAATGCACTCCACATTATGATGTAAGTCATTCCCTTTGAAGAAAAGAAGAAATAGTTTTTTTGGCTTTCTAATTCGTTATATATATATATATATATATATATATATATATTGTCGGTTTGGCAGATATATCATAGGAGGAGTAATATTCTATGAAAAGGATTTCTCATCAAATTAATGCCCTCATCTTAAAAATATGATGAGAAAGTTTCACTTGTGTTTGTATTCTAATATACTATTGGAAATACATTGTGGATACTGATGATTATCTTCGGGTTAACATTGGTTAAATTATTTGGCTGTTCTGCAACAAAAATATGATGGTTTAATTTTGCTTTAGGCAAGTCCAAAGTATTTGGTAATTTGGTGTTTCATATTAAAATTTGATAACCTTTATGTAAATTGACATCAAATGTATCATTTTCCTGGTGATTTTGTATGATTCCAAGCTCTATGAGGCCTATATTAAAATTTAATGCAATCATAAAAGATACTAAAATTGCAAACTGGATAATTATGTATGGTACAAAATAGCTAGGACTTGCCCATTTCTTTTCTTTAAAGTTCATACCTGGTATAAAGTGAATATCAGATTATAGAATGATATCCTTGATTCATTTTTTGATCTTGATTGTAGTTCTATGGGTTGTTCCTGCTAGCAGCTCAACAAGCATTAGGAGATGAACCTGGATTTGGTGATTGGGTAGAAGCCCTCAGGCAAGGCATGGACCGAATTATGAAGTATGGCAAAGCAGAGGTTGGGGACAGAACCATGGTATGTCATAATAGATTTGATTTGATTTGATTTGATTTGATTTATTGGTTTCTGCATCTTTCTTTTTTTTTCATCAAACATTTTTTCATGAACATAATATGGTTTGATACAATATTTCAAATGTATATAATACACATGCATGCATGCATAATTAACATACATTAGATGCAGGTGGGCTACAGAATAAGCAAAGTAGCTTGACGTGCCCACAGCCCTCAACTTAGATACTACAATAAAAATAAAAATAAAATAGCAGAAGAGTGACTTGCAGAGAAGAAAAGAAAAGGGGAGAGAAGGAGCGTTGGTTTTCTGTTAATCAAATAAATCTAATACATCTGCTGATTGAATGCAGGTTCATTCATGGATGGATAAAAGATGCTAGGTCATGGACGATTACACATCATCGGTTGAGTGTAACCCCTTACAAAGAACAATAATTTACAAAATTCAAATTCTGAGGTTTGAATCTGTGAATATAGTTGCAAGATTTGACATAAATATCTTGTAAGGTTATGAGTTTCACAAAGCATTCCCATCTTCTTGGTTTTATTCTTGACAAAATAAAACCTTGCTATTAAATATAAAACAGGACATCAATTTCTGCATGTACATAAAGAATAAAATTCTTTAACACTTTCATTCTTATCACTAATTGTAGAATCACATTTTTTAAGAGAAATGACTGATTTTTTTTTTTCCATGTTTGTTTTGGATAAGTATATTCATATTTGAAAGTTTATCAGTAAAATATTTGTTAAATTTGTTATTATGTGGAAATTGTGCACCCCTCAGCAATTTTGTGCATGGACTCTTGCACATGATTTTAAGAGGCATGCAAGAATCAAACTGTGATATTCATGCGACAGCATCAAGCATCTTTTTCATATAGTGACTGATTTTAAATTCAAAAAGGAAACATTTGCATGAGATGCATTATTAATCAAAATCAATGTAGAAGATAAGCACAAGCTTGTTTTAGTTCAGTTGCATTTGAAATAATACAGATATAACTAAATGAAGACTAAGACAATAGGAAGATTATTACTGATTTACAGGAATATAATTTGATTTGATCTCATTTAAACATGTGGTTAAGTGCTTGTTATGAATATTTATGTATGATGTTATCCTTGATTCTATCTGAAGAAAGATTTATTTTAAAAAAGAAGAAAAAGACTAAGACGGAAGTAAGAGCCAGAGTAATATAGGGGTAAGGCTAATTTGTAAGTTTTCACAGTAAAAGCACAAACTGTAGTCCTAGACAAAGGTTCAAAGCGGGGGTACTAATTAATGTGCCTCTGAATAGAATTTCTTGATAGACGGCGCTATAGAACTACCTATAATTCTTAATGATTGTAACAAATATTTATGATTATTTTTATCAGCTGGATCCGCTTGACGCAGCATACAGGATACTGAAGGAAGGCCACACTAACAACTCGGACTCTATGAAGACCTTGGAAGATGCAGTCAATGTGAGTTCATCCAAGTGAAAAGAAATACCTTCTTATTCTCCTGATATATGCATGTGCAGATGTACACATTTGGGGGATGTGGGTTTGAAGGGAGTGGAAGAATCATTGAAGGAGTGACATAATTAATGAAAAAAGAGATTAGACTATGAGATAGTTATGCATACTGGTAAAAGGATCTTAGGGTATCAGTTTTAGATGACAGGATGATTGTATCATTCACTCTCATTTATATACATGAGAGTGTCGGAAGTAAATTCATTTTTGAGGTGAAGATAATCATGTTTGTATTCCAATAGGATGATTGTCCCATGTGAAATGATTAAAATCCTTCACAACCAATTATGAAACCAGAAAATAACTTTTTCTTTAGCATTTTGATCAAAGACAGAAGAGAGAGAGAGAGAGAAAAAAAAGAAAAGATGGACACAGTTAAAGAGAAAGGGGAGCCAATAGAGGGGGTGGTATGGGTATAGAGCAAGGTGGAAACAGAGAAACAGAAAGGGGTATCCAATAGAGGGGTTGGTTCGGGTAAAGAGCAAGATGGAAACAGATAATGAGAAATGGGGAACCAATAGAGGGGGTGGTATGGGTATAGAGCAAGATGGACACAGAGGAACAGAAAGGGGTATCCAATAGAGGGGTTGGTTCGGGTAAAGAGCAAGGTGGAAACAGATAATGAGAAATGGGGAACCAATAGAGGGGGTGGTATGGGTAAAAAGCACGATGGACACAATGAGAAATAAAAAGGGGGAACCAATAGAGGGAGTGAAAACCAATCCATTCAGATTTTTTTTTGGCCTTTATAGCTTTACTAGATCTATACTTTTCAGATCTCAACCTATCATTTTTCTCTATCCTAAACAGGCTGCTGAGCAAAGTGCTGAAGCTACATCTATGATGGCCGCCAGAGCTGGCAGAGCAAGATACGTCAACCCAGACCAGTTAGGACGACCTGATCCTGGGGCAATGGCTGTTGCTATTTGGCTCCGAGCAGCACATAATGCATTGAGAGCTTTGTGATTAAGCTCCTTCTGTGATGTGGGTTTTTCAATAAAAGAGTCAGAAAGCAGATGGTAAAATGCTTTATTCCTTGCTCTAAAGATTCAAGGATGCCAGCTTTTTGCATGAATTTAGACCTTTTAGGGCATGATGAACGTTACAAGATGTCATAATTAGTAAGACAATCACCTTTTGTTGGAAAATTATTAGATCTGACATTTTGTGAAAAATTATCAAAAACAACAAAATGTGGTATATTTTTCGAAAAATGTGTATGGCAAATTCTACCGCCATACAGCAGGATTTTCACTGAATAAGAACTGAATAAACATTCTATTTTTCAAAAAGTATTTTGTAATGTCTACAACCATTTTAAGACCCTCTTCTCATTTTTATTGAACTGTAGTTGAAATTTGACCATGTTCTTTTTCACAGGAAGCAGACGATGTATATAAGTTAGATCAAGATATATTTTTTTAAATGAATGTACCTACATGTCAATGTTTTATTTCATGTGCAGAGAAATGTTAACCTTATAAATTCTTTAACAATGAAACGAGGACGTTCATCTTAGAAGGGGCAGCCTCAAAATTTCGGCCGGTGAGGGCGTAAATCTGTCTCATCAATCGGGATATTCGTGTGAGGATATGATTCTGAGATGCTTAAGAAAATCAATTGATAATCCAGCTTAATCGGCAATTAGAATATGATTCATGTTTTCTGAGTATGATAAACGGTTCGACGATTAATAAATTGTATAACATCCACAATTGGAGTAAAAAAGAATCATTAATTGTCCTTTATAAGAAAGAGTGTTGATTGCTGCGCCAGTACGGAGAGTGGTGGTGCATAGTGGCAGGCGCGGATCCAGGGGGGGCCGAGCGGGCCTTGCCCCCCCCCCCCCCTGCAAAAAAAAAAGGAGAGAGAGAAGGAAAAGAAGGGAAAGGGAAAAAAGAAGAGGAAGAAGAAAAGAAAAGAGGGAAGAAGGAGATTGGGGGAGGGGTAAAAGGACTTGCCTCCCAGGCTGTTGCCTCCCCCCCCCCCCCCCCCCAATCAAAAAATAAAAGAGAAGGAAGGAAAGGGAAAGAAAAAGGAAAAGAGGAGATAAAGGGAAGGAAAAAAGAGGAAGAAGAAAAGAAAAGAAGGGGGATATCAGTTGCAATTTTCCTGCCAACAAGTTGTATATCCCCCCCCCCCCATCCCCGCTAAAAAAAGAGAGAAGGAAGGAAAAGGAAAAGAGGAGAGCAAAAGGAGAACAAAAAAGAGGAAGAAGAAAAGAAAAGGGAGAAAAGAAGGAGATATCAGTTGCGGGTAGTCCCGCCAACAATGTGTGGAGCGGGGTGGGGCCAAAACGACCTTCCCCCCCCCCCCCTAGCAAATCTAAAAGAGAGAGAAGGAAGGGAAGGGAAAGGGAAAGAAGAGAGAGAGAGAAAAAGAGAATGAAGAAAGGTAAGGGATATCAGTTGCAATTTTCCCGCCAACAAGGTGTAGACCGGGGGGCCTTGGGGAAATACACTTTTAAGTAAATTTTACTTTTTTATGCGTTTGTTGGAAAATGACCAATTCCTAAATTTACAGCCAGGCAAAAAAATCCTTCTTGAGATGCCTACATGTCAGGGCCCACGGAACGGCGGGGATCGGGATCCTCGAACCCCCCTCCCCCCTCCCCCCACATTTTTTTGAAAAAGTATATTAAAGAGAAATAGAAAAAAAGAGAGCAAGAAAGAAAAAATAGTTAACTGCAGTGTCACATTATAATGAGGTATCAAAATATGCTCATCTGACCATGATTAAATGCCTAAAACCCCCAAGGCTCTGCCCCCTGGATTCCACCTAGGGCCCCAAGGCGGGCCCTTAGATGCTCATCTGACGGTAATTTAATGCCTAAAACCCCTGATTTCTGGGGGCTCTGCCCCCTGGACCCCACGCCAAACAGTGTCCTGCCAGTGTCACAAAATAAGAAGGTATCAAAATAAGGCTGATCTGACCGTAATTGCATGCCTAAAACCACTGAACTTCCGGGGCTCTGCCCCCTGAACCCCGCCTAGGGCCCCAAGGCGGACCCCTGAATGATAATCTGACCGTAAATTTTTGCCTTAAACCCCTGAGCTTCCGGGGGCGGACAAGGTATCAACATATGTTCATTTGACAGCAGGCACGTATCCAGGGGGCGGTGGGGTGGTCCCCCCTAAAACGCCGGCCAAAAAAAGAGAGGAGAGAAATGGAAGAGGACGTAGGGAGAAAAGCGAGTAGATAAAGAACATTTTTGAAATTCAGACAAGGATTAAGAGTCGAGAATGGTACAACGAATCGTCTTCTTTCTCTAATAATTTAACAAAACGTCACAGCTTCCGCGCTTCGCGCAGGAGGGGGGGGGGGGATGGAACTACATTCAGACAAGGATTAAGAGTCAAGGATGGAAATACGAATCGTCTTCTATCTCTAATGAATTAATGAAACGTTAAAGCTTTCGCGCTTCGCGCAGGAGAGGGAAAGGGGAACTGAATTCAGACAAGGATAATTTTCGAGAACGGTACAACGAATCGTCTTCTTTCTATAATAATTTAATGAAACGTCGAAGCTTCCGCGCTTCTCGCGGGAGGGGGGGGGGGGCTGAATTTAGACAAGGATTAAGAGTTGAGAACGGTACAACGAATCGTCTTCTTTCTCTAATGATTTAATGAAACGTAAAAGGGGAAAACTCGCCCCTCCCTGCACACACCCCCTCCCAATTATGTCACTGCTGGTCACCATTGCTTACCAATATTTGGCTCGCATAATTTCAAATTTGGGCCCCCCTAAGAAATCCTGGATCCGCATCTGCCTGTTGATTGGGGTAGGTGCTTAAGGTGGAGGCATTTCAGTCTCTCATCTTTTCCCTCTAGCTTCTTTTGAACCCTTATGTTAGTCTTGCTCAGTTTTTTTCTGTCCCTGTGGTTCACACTCGACCGGGGGGTGTACCTCTTGCCCCGCCACTAGCTACGCCACTGCTTACGTAATTTAATGATGTAAATTAATAACATAAGTTTATCATTATTAATGATAACAGGTCAAAAACAAAGCAAACCATTATGATTGGAGAAAAAGGGCTTATTTTGAACGACGGGAGAAAAACCGTATTAGATAATTGTATTTTATTGCAGCTTTCATGAACTTGGCAGCATCAGAACTGAATACACACAGTCGCTGTTTCAGGATTTCTTAGGTGGGGGGTGGGGGTGGGGTGGGGGGGGGGTGGTAATGAGCACTATTTTGTTTTGCTCCCCATGCAGGGGGGGGGGGAGTAGTGAGCACTATTTTTTTTTTGGGGGGGTGGGGGCACGTGCCCCCTGTGCCCCCTAGATCCGCCACTGACACAAGTTAAAAGTATATACATTTACATTGTAAGAATCACAGAACATTTAGTTGGATATTATTTAAACGTGTCATGTTAATTGTAGGCCTATTAATCATATCTCAATGTTGCACCAGCATAAAGTCACATTAATTCAGTCAAAGGGTATACTATAGAAGTATAGTTAACTCTTGGAATTATCATTTTTAAAATTTTTTAAACTCTAAACTCTAAAAGAGGGAGTTTTTTTTCTCTCTCTGTCTTTGGACTCCTAATTTTTTTTTTAAGGGGGTCAAAATAACTTGAGTACTATAGATAGGTACAGGCGCTTACGTAGGGGGTGGGGGATTGGGGGTCGAACCCCCACTAACATTTTTGATGTGTGTGATTTTTAATTAAAAAAGAAGAAAAAAACCCTTTTTTTGTGTGCAAAATGGTGACCCCAAAAAAGTGACCTTACCCCCCAGCCATCGAAATATAGGTCGGCCAAATTTTTTAATTTCCGGGAAAGAAAATGTGCTCGCAGTGGCGGCCGGATCCAGGGGGAGGGGGTGCCGGTGGGCCTGTGGTCCCCCCGAAAAAAATCTGTAAAAACACGTTAATTTTACCTTTTTATGGAGATGGGCCCCCTCCCTGGCGTTCAAGGGGGGGGGGATGCAATTTTCCAAATTTTCAAGGGCCCCCCCAAAAAAAAATATAGTATATCCCTACGATCCCCTCCCCCCCCCTCCCCCCACCCCACTGAGCGAATTCTCGGCGGTGCGATTTTTAAATTTTCGCCACTAAATATTTTCTCACGAATTGGGCCCCCTCCCCTTCCCTGCCGCCGGCTGGATCCGCCCCTGCCTGGTAGCACGGTATGCTCAATAGCACATCAATTATCGACAGCATATTTTTGGCGCCCGTTGCAGTCAAAATGACTTTGCTTCGAGTGAATTATGAAAGTCTCAAATGTGAGTCTGCATGTCCTATAATCTCACATATTATTTTGTCTGTCATCCCTCTTGACTCCCAATACACACAAATAACACAATAATACAATTCAATTATTGTGGAATAGCCTGACAACGACTACTGAGAGCCAGCCGTTTATTCAGTATGAATGGTCCTCGAAAATTTTAAAATTTGCACCCCCCCCCCCCCCCTTGAGCACCAGGGGGGGGGCCCAACCCCCCCAAAAAGGTAAAAATCGCCCCGGGCCCCGGGCCCCCCCCCCCCTCCTGGATCCGCCACTGATGTAACACTACATGACACAACGCACATTTATTGTAAATAAAAGTTGTCTCGTTGAAAGTTCAAGCTAGAATGATATTACACACTAATTCATGCCACGCCCTGGTCTCCGTAGCAGAATTAGCTCGCACACCTGTACGAGCTGCCTATGCAAATATACATTCCATCGGGGCACCCCCCCCCCCCCCCCCCCCCGCCCAACATAAGTATGCATTCATTAACGATACAAACAACATTTGTCTGCTATACAATCGTACCGCAGACAAATAATAGTTCATCCTAACATCGTTTATCACATAATATCACCCATAGCAACCATCACATACAGATGTCACTCTGAAGCTAGAATGACTTCCCTCTACACACCACACCCTTATCTCGCATCCTCTCTTTTCATATTCAAATGAAACACCTTCAACGCAACGCAACGGAATTGAATAATTCCGTCACGCATGCCAGAGAACAATTAGTGTTCCCCACTTATTGGCCGTATAAACAAATCACGTGATGTATTTCAATTGAACATGCAAATAGAGACCGCTCGCGCGAATCGGTTTTAGGTTTCGAGTAAGATGGGAAGCAAGAAATTTACCATTCTCTGCTAGATTCTGTCCTAGACAAGTCGTTTTGAGATATTTACTTAGCTTTTGCTTCGTTCGCTTAGCTTGCTTTGAACCACTGTTATTTCACTTGTGTAATAATGGTCTTTTACGGCAACAAGTTCAGCGGGAACTGTGTGATGAATACCCTGGAGGGTACTCGTTGTAGGAGGAAGGCACCCCTGCCTGTTGATGAACCGGAGGAGTGCTGGCAACACCGACAGTATGTATATAGTTATTTTCTAAATTAAAAATGAATTTACCAACTCGGTAGTCAGCTCTCATGGAGAATTCGACACCGTTCGGGTGTTTACCAGACAACAGTACAGGTGTTGTCAATCACCCGGGTTAGCCTTGAGTTTTATGACCATTAGACCTTATGTAATGCTTTGGTTTCCCCGTTACCCGAAAACTCTCGAGTATTATCCGAGAAATCAGAGGGGGGGGGGGGGATTCTTGACTGGCCAACGGGTTTGCTGTGTGCAGATTTGTACCCCCATTAATGGTATTTCCACCAAGTCTGGTGTCAGCGAATTATGGCCTTCTGATGCGCATGGAAACTGCTGATACAGTCCCTTTAATACACGCAGGATATTGACCCTTCAGTGAGTTGAAAGTTATCATTCATTGTAATTACCCTATCGAATGTCTTACCAAAATTGCAACATCTGCACTTTTGTCTTGTATATTCGCATTCTATTATTTGCAATCTAGTAGTAATAGACTATATGTCCTGTTTTATGTTTCCTTTATTACAGACAGCCAGCCGAGGTCCAGTGCTCTGCACATATTGGGCTTCATGGGAATGGCAGACGTTGCAGCCGGCGTGGACGTCACTCGCTAGACGAAAACGCTGTTGAACTCTACTGCACGCAACACGGTATGCATTTATTCAAAGTAAATCTCTCACATGTAACTTAGATCTACATTTTAAAAAGGCATCTTGTGGACCATAGACTATAGATCTACATGTATTTGCCCAGACCATTAGCGGATCCAGAATTTTCCAGGGATCGAGGGCAGCATATTGCCATTGGTAAAAATATTAAAAATGGAAGAGTAAATATTGATTCATGTACATATGTATATTGATTCAAAATATTTTGAAACTAATTACACTGCCCCCCTCCGCCTCCCCCTCCCCCTCCCCCTCCACTCAGTGTTATTTAGGGTAGGCAGCATATATGCATGTTCCCTCCCTTTGAAAGCACCCCCCATCTCCGGTGTGTAAAGTCAATACTGGCCAGATTTTTGTGTATGTACGGGCCTTACTTTGTTGCGTGAAAAGTAGCCTACCCCTTTACCCTGTAATATGGGATCATTGAATGGGGTATATTCAAGAATAAATGGAGAATCGTGTATTTGAATGTGATCTGTGAAAAGCCATGCATGTAATAAGTAGCATGTCCTCATTTATGTTTTCATTTGGTTTATACAGTCAACAAGTTGCATCGCGAGAACGGTCGTGCGGAGGTCGTTCCTGCTCATCGCCAACAGCAGGATGAACAGCGTAGGAGGGCGGAGGAGCGTGAGCAACTCCACCCGAGACGAAGGTCACCGCGTCTGGTAGAGCGAGAGATCGCAGCTGCCGCCGCTGTTCAACTCGCCGCGGAGAGAGAGCAACGTCGTGCCGCCAATCGGGCAAACCAGAACCTGCGGAGGTCGGCCCGGATTGCCGCGAGGCGAGGCAATGTGTGATTGTAGCCTGGGTAAGTAAATTTTTTTATATGCTTTCCTAATTTTAAATATTCTAACAATTCCTACCCCCACACAAAAAATAACTAAACAGATGAGCATGCAATGTATTCAATGTACCAAACACAATTTTTTTAATTGAAGACTTGACAATGAGCCAAAACTTTACAACATAGCAGCAACTTTTAATGATCAGTTGGATCAAAATGAACCGAGATGCATCCAAGGTTTCCAAATAGTACGATTGTTATTTGTCACAATGATATAGGGGTTTTTCAAAATTCATTTATCTGGAAACATAATCTGTATTATTAATTTAAACAAAAGTTTGAAACAGAAACATCTTGCTCATAATGAAATTAAAGGGGAAGCCCACCATGATATTAAGTGTATTTTTTTAGAATCAGAACATGAGAGAAACAGTTCAGTGAAAGTTTGGGCATAAACTGATTAAAAATAAGAAAGTTATGAATTTTTAAAGGTGCAATCAATTAATGTTTCAATCAAATATTTACCCTAAGTATTATCATTTCAAGTATAGTGTTAAGCAACCCCTGTATGAAACGTATCTATTCCGTCATCAATATCCAAGAAAATGAAAATTCATGAAATTGTCTGTAGCCTACAGAGCAAATAGGAGATGAGCTTGCATGATGTCACATTTTTTTCACTGATGACAGCTTTAAAATTCATAACTTTCATATTTTTTATTGTTATGCTTTTATTACAGTCAACTTAATTTAAGTGTGGACTTCCCCCTTAGTATAGATGATTTTTTAAACTCACATCATTCTCCTTTCCTACAGACTGATTCGCAGAAGCAGCAGGGGGGAGACCGAGGGGGGATACTGGGTCGAACACTGCTGAGGTTCTCGGGACGTAAACGCCTTGCTATAGGAGTAGTAGGGAGGAAGCCGAGACGGGTAGTGCATGGTCACTCAAAACCAGACCCGCTGTACTATCGTAGTCAAGAAAGACTGGGTGTGGTCAGTCGAGGTAGACGCCGGAGGCCATTCCCTTTCTTTGACCGCCTGTAAATTATTCCAAGAAGGTATGTCTACTGTTCATTATTTTGGCTTCATATGTTTGAAATAGTATTAATTCTTTATAGCATTATAGCATTACCTGGCAAAACATGGGGAGTCTTCATCTTTGCTTTTGTTTGCACATGTCCTCATCATTTTGGAGTGTATACCATTTATATGTATCCTCTATGTGGAAAATGTTTATATAATGTAAAATGTAGGGCTGAAAGGTGAAAAACGTCTTTATATTTTGTCTACATACTCAGAAATAAATCTATTTTGAAATTAATGTATAAACTTGGTATAATCTTTACCTAACAAAATTGTTTAATTTGTGTTTATTTTTACGATTTTATCTGCCCATCATATCCTTTGAGATGCCTAATACAACATTTGTTTAACCTCTTTATTCCACAGATCAGGCCTCACCGTGGGACGCGCACACACGTCGTAAGTATGCAGGTATTTCAATGTCTACCTTGTGATAATATATTCCTACTCACCAGATCAGTTTACCCAATACCTCCTAATAGAAGTCATGTATACTTTTGAGGTTTGACATGTAGGTTATTACATTGAGAATTTGTGAATATTTGGCTGAAAATCTTTTTTAATATACGTTATATTGTTATAAGGGTTCAGAAGTTGTCTTTTTTTGTAAGTTTAGTTATTGGTTTTGCAATCATCCATCTCATAAAAGTAGTTGTACTGATATTTCAATGTGTATTATTTATTGTTATAAAATTTAGTGTTGAGTTTATAAAGGTTAAGCTTAAATTATTAATATGACCTACTCGGTGATTAATGAGCAATGTGTAATTTAAAATGTGTTCAATTGACCTATGCTTTATGTACTGTATATAGTTATTAGCCATGTGAAGTAAAAAATTCCACGTAATGTGGACAATAAAACAAATCAACAAATCAAATCAATGTATCTTGTTGTAAGAGCTAGACTTGGCAGGAGCTGTCCAATTACCCAGTTTGTAATTAGCACCAAATAACCACTAAATATATATCTGAACATGGAGAGGCCTAATAGGGATTGTAGAACTTGAGGAGTCACATGAATGCCATTTATCTCCAGTTAGAGATGCAAAACTTTACCTGTGTATGATGAAATATCATACTGGTGCATAAAATAAAATGAATGTTTGAACATGTAACCAGTATTTTTCTCAGTTTGCACATTTTTTAAAACCAAATTTTCAAACTGCAATTACAAACTGGCCTATTATAGGATGTGTACTGTTAATGTACTTGTAGACAGAATGTTCTTTCATGTGGAATGCACGAAAGAATAAGAAAAAAAGATGCCAACAATTAATCATGAACTTACAAAAATGGTTGCAAACTAATGATAAAATACAATTAAAAAATATGAAATTTAAAATTTAAAAAGAGACGTTAAATGAAAAACAAAATAAGATGGACAAAATAATTAAATTGAATAGAACACATTCTTTTTATTAAAAAAAGGTTTAAAATTAAGTTTAAAAAAGGATGTGTGTTTCCTTCAAAGTCGAGACGAGTTACACGGGAAAACACTAAAACCATTATAATCCTTTAGCATTAGTGATCATAAAATTCTTGGTAAAGATTTCCAGTCCCTTAAAAGAAACAACTGAAATCTCATCTTCTCCCATTTGCAATTACTTTTATTTAATCCTATTTTCTTATACATTATATACATGTTATGCATATGTAGGTTCTACTCATATACCGGTAAAGCAAATCCCCTTCTGTTTCTCTATTTGTAGTGGATTATTCTCAATCCTATCTTTTAAAGGGGTGCATTTTCCTGACATGTTACCAATTCGAAGAAGAAACACAAAATCACATATGAAGAAATAAATCACCTTTATGTGGCTGGGGTAAAAAACAAAATTAAATTTAGTTTATTATTCATATTTACTAGAGGACATATTAAGCATTATATCAGACAAAAAATACATCGTGTTCACTATTTTCAGGTATACAGCACCTGTAAATCCCATGTGTGTTTTCTAATAGGATTTGTTAGACTCTCTGTGAAATGAATAGTTTTTTTCCTTCTCTTATCTTTCCAGTTTGTATCTTAATCATATATAATTGCTTTTATTGTGGGATGTTTTGATTTTTCTTATGGTAGGATAGGACTCCTTTAAAATATAATAAAGATGTAATATATAGCTTTTTCTACTTTTCTTCTCAAGTCTCCACTAATATAAATTAATGTTTTAATACAGTAGGCTCTACTTCAAATGTGTAATACCTAATCATTCTCAGTATTGTTTAGCAGCTGTTTATCTTGTCCAATGTTCTCTCTGGTTTACCCTTCTCTCCATTGCAGCAGGGATGTTTCTCGATATTGTAGAATTCTCTTGATAGCTCTTTACATCTTCTAAGAGTATTGAATCTTTCTTTCAATAGGAGAATATCGTATGTCATTCACAATTCAAGGCTTTCGGTAACACTATGTGGTTTGTACACCAAGAATTAGGTCATATGGAAGTAAAAAAGGGAAGGAAAGAAAGGGTGGTCAAGATTGAGAAGGTTGTGAGGAGATCGCAAAGGGTGTAGTTTTGAAAAGAAAATTGTATCTTTCCTCTTTCTATATCATTTTTATCTTTCTATTTGTTTGTATTTTTGTTAATGTCTTCGTCTTTCTTTTTCTTTTTCTGTATCTGTATCTATCTCCCCTTTTCTCTTTTTTACTTTCTCTTACATGTATATTTTAGTCTTATATTATCCCCTCGCTGACGAAGTCGGAGGGGATCTAGTAACGCAGCCGTCCGTCCGTTCGTAACAAATCTGATTTACGTTTGATAACTTTAGTAATGTTTGGCGGATTTTAATAAAATCTGTTATGAAGGTACATGGTATCAAAATACAGCCTAAGTTCGATTTCAAAGTATGTAGATCAAAGGTCAAAGGCCATAGCTTATTAAATATGCAAAATACCCAAATCTGGTTTCCGCTCTATAACTTTAGTAATGTTTGACGGATTTCAATGAAATTTCATATGAAGGTAAACAGTATCAAAATACAGCCCAATTTCGATTGCGGAGTATGTAGGTCAAAGGTCAGAGCTCATTTAATATGTGGGGAAAAAGCTAATAAGAAAATTTGGTTTCTGTTCAATAATCTTAGTAATTTTTCGACGGATTTGAATGAAACTTGATATGAAGGTACATGGTATCAAAATACGGCATAATTTCAACTTTGGAGTATGTAGGTCATAGGTCATAGCTCTTTAAATATGCCAAATACCTATTTATATATGCGAAAATGTGGTTTTCATTCAATAATGTAAGTAATGTTGTTGAGTATGTACGTCAAAGGTCAAAGGTGGCAGCTCATAAATATTAAAAACTTGCTAAATATAGGCCATTTTTACCCGGCGAAGGGACGCTACGCTTTGCATGGACTTTCTTTTTTTTCTGTCTCTCACTTCTATGTCCTTTTAGAACATTATCATTTATACTCTTTCTTCTTCTCATACTTTATCATCTTCTCTTCATTATCTTTCCCATCCATTGTACCCATCCATAATACCCATATTTACCACAATAAATCAATGTATCTACCTATCATTTGCTAGTTTATCCAAACTACGCCACAACTCTAAAAACATCACAATCGCGTATGCCCCACCCCCATAATTCGCCTTCCCAGGGTTCATGTGCGCAACGCACGCCCGCCATTCATCTTTCTATTCTCGCCTACCGGCAGAGACATCGTTACAGCTGAGTCACATTTAAATTCAAGGATTTTGTCCTTTTTTCGATAGGCTTAGCTCTTTTTACGCATTGAATTCCGTCCTCTTTTTTTATTGCTATTAATTTGGTGGTACAGGTTCCCAAGTCGCATATTTATTTTTGTATATTTTTGTATATTTTTTTTTATATAAAAGTACTGTTTATCAGATTAATTTGTTATTGTATAAGAGTCATATTTTATTTTAGCTTCCCTTGTTCTCTCTCTCTCTTTGTTGCTTTTTGCGATTATTACCGGCTGTATATCAGCTCTAAATCAAGACCCATCATCTGTTTCCCTTTCTCTCCCTTTCTTCCTATCTCTCACCATGTCTCACACTTTCTTGCTCACTATTTATGATTATGACTTATCAAATCTAGATTTGCTTTTTTGAATAGGATAAATACCATTCATAGCAAAAATCTTTTTTGCCTCCCACTCTATCTCTCTATCTCCTGAGCGCCTTCTCCCATGGGGTACTATGTCACATTAATTATGGATAGCATATAATTATAGGTCCTCTGAATTGGTCTGGCCAATTTTGAGTACTTCTTGTCTCACAATTGCTACTGTAATGCCGTAGACACTACAGCCAGCGACGTGCAGGGTGATGGATAGTTGTAGATGCCTTGAGAGTTATGGGAGATCAAGTTGGATTATACATGGCTAGCTGTAACTAGTAAGTAGGTTATAACCTGTCTTACTAGAGCACCTGTGAGTGATGTTCTAGCTGGTCTTGTACCTTAAATTGCTGGAGAACGGTGCAGCAAGATCAGGCATTTTTTTTCCCCGGTAGGGCTAGTTCGTAGTTTAAGGTGCTTGCTATGTGTCATCATGCCATTCTCTTCATGCTCGTGACAGCTCAACTGAACCGTCACCCAATTAACATAGGGTGTGTAGCCATCCTATAGATCTATAACATATAGAACTTACGGGGGGATGAGCTTACATGGAGCCAACGGCCAGTTACCATGGAAGAGTTTGTTACCTCACCATGTACATGTATATTACCATTGTCTGCAACATCATGAATAAGTACAGACAGAGAGAAAAGCGAGATGCAAGCCTGACTGGTCCCCAAACAATTAGTCCTGCTGTAAATAGCCTTCGGGAAGAGTTGCTGCCTTTTGCAAATAAGGTACATTATAATGACCAACCTAGTTCAAAGCCTTCGGAAAGATAAGGTTGTGATGCTCTGTCCCTGAAAACAAGACATGGAATGTTAGGACGTTGTATAAGGCAGGGAAATTAGATAACCGCATTCAGGCGGCTAATAGGATGAAACTAGATATTATAGGTATTGCAGAAACTAGGTGGAATAATAATGGATGCATGAAGAGAGATGATTATACCTTCATATACTCTGGGGGAGAAAAACACCAACATGGTGTTGGAATGTTAATCAAGAAAAATCTTGAAACACATTCTAGGTTTAATACTGGACATTAAATGAGAGAATGACGTTAATGAAGCTGAAAGCTAAACCGTTTAACCAAGCATTAATTCAAGTGTATGCCCCAACCAGTGATTACAGTGATGAACAAGTAGAAAAATATTACGATCAAATAGATGAAATGCTAAAGCACTGTAAATCAACAGAAGTTGTTATCGTGATAGGTGATTGGAATGATAAAGACGGGGAAGGTAAGGATGGAAAGATTGTTGGACAATATGGACTAGGCCATCGTAATGAACAGGGTGATCGACTTGTTCAGTTCTGTAAGGAACATGATCTAATGATAACCAACACCTTTTACCAACAACATAAAAGAAGAACCTACACCTGGAAAAGCCTAGGAGATGCAAATAGAAATCAGATCGACTACATTTTAATAACGAACAGGTTCAAGAATTTAATCAAGCAGGTTAAAACATGCCCAGGGGCTGACATAGATTCTGATCACAACCCGGTGATTGCAGAAGTTGAAATAAAGCTAAGAATACACTCCCCAGAACAAAAAGAAACCCTCTTCTGGATGTTAAAGCTCTAAATAAAACAGTCGATATCAGAAAAATACCTTATGGAAGTTAGAAATAGGTATAATTGCCTAGTCACAGAAGAAATAGAATAAACAAATAATGAAGTAAATGACATTGAGAAACTAGAAGTGGAATGGAAATGCTTGAAAAAGATCCCCTGGGTCATACATTTTGAAAAATTGACATTTTAGTACTGTTGTGTGTTATAATAAGCTGAATAGTTGTCCGCCACTACATCACAGCAACATTACCGATCAGGCAATTTGAACTTGATTACAGCTTTCAAAAATTCATAACCTTATTGTTTGTTCGATTTCGTTCAAACTTTCACCAATCTGCTCCCTTAATTTAAGAGTAATTTTCCTTAGTTAGAAAAATCGTAATTTGCTTGTGTGGAAAATATTTATGACATTAACAGTCATGGATTGCATAACTATGCAACCAGTGTAACCTTACTAAGCATCAACTTCTTTGTCTCGTTCAATAATTCTCTTGGCAGTCAGAAGATGTTTGCATTGGATATTATTTCACCATTGTAAAATAATGCACTAGATATTCAACTACGCAGTCATCACTCTTTGGCATCAAAAGTGTTTTTAAAGTGAATGTTGTGTATATATCCAAATTTCTTCTTTCCTACATCCATTGAGCTGATTGATATCATATTGGATGAGGCACGTTTTTAATTCAAGAACTGAACTTTTTTGGTATTTTTTGATATTCATGGTATTAGGTGTAGGTAATTACTGGCTTGGAGATGGTGACATGTGAATGATGAGCCTACATGGCACTGTCCCTTAAATTGTAGGTGAACAGACGAAGCAGTCATCAAAATAAAAAAGTCACAATTGTGCTTACCCCACCCCAAGGCCCTGCAATACCACCTGTCACATGCGCACTACGACCGCATGCAAACTTCCTCTCTTAAAGCAGTCCAAGATACAACCAGGGACATGTTGCCAACAAGGAGAAGGGACAGAGGGAGGGACATAGGTAGATAAATGTACATAGATTAGTATAGTAAATAATAAAATCAGTTCTGATGTAACTAATTTACCACAATAAATCATATGTATCTACCTATTATTGCTTAGACCAACACAGATGAAAGCAGGGGGCATGTTCCAAACAAAAGTTAGCGGGGGACCAGGCCGTAGCAACACACTCCTCACTCGCAGGAATGTCCTAAAGATAACACGAAACTAAGGTGTTTGGTGAAAGCCAGAAGGCAGCCTTCATAATGACATGAAGCGCTACCCCATGGAAAAGAGCCTGGGAGGTACCAACACCCCTGGTATCATGTTTAAGATACAGTTGAATGATATTTAGGAATAACCGAAACCCCAGAGGGGAAAGGAGAAACTGATCCACCTACCGACTCCTCTCACAGAGGAGTAGCAAGGGAAGTGGACGGTGGGAGTCTAGCCACCAACAACGGGCAAAGACCCTAAAAAGGCCAACAACAGCACAGAGCTTCTCAGAAGCCGAGCTTAGCAAGACGGGTCCCAAAACAAAAAGGGAACCTGAACACCAGAAAGTGCAACTGAGTCCAGTCAAGACACCCCTAGGGCAGGGGCACAGCTACCATCATCCCCCTGGGTGCCTGATGGACTTCACAGTCAAAGTCACAATCGGAGACTCGACATCCAAAAGCAAACGCTTCCTACCTTACGCCGAAACGTCTGGTGCAAAGCCTGCTCAAAGGCCTTACTAAAGCT